AGCTGTTCTTCAAACGCAATAGGAGGTAAGAAGAGAGTGGAAGTAGAGGAGAGAGAGGACATAAATGCCGACCGACACTGCAGAGATCCCCTCTGTGAAAATGGCTCGAAAAAAACCATTTCAATTGTTTCACTCGGGGAAGGGCTGGCAGACACAAGCCTATGGACTTGTGTATCCTCAGTCATTCATTCCATCCCTCCTCTGCAAAGCTGTTGGCTCCAGGCTGCAGCTACTTTATTTCCCCCCCCCACTTGATCCCTGCCTACCTGGCTTTAAGGACTCAAACAAATGAGTCCAATCCGACAGAGCGTGATGAGCTGCTCCACAGGCTATGACAAAGTGACTCACAAATACCATAAGGTTCCATGTGCTTCTCTGCTGTCCACAGTAATCCTATCAAGGATTGGGATGGAAGGGGTATTAGAATTTAGAAGTTAGAAGACATCGTGAAGATATCACGCTCACATCCTTAATTAGGAAAAAAAGACACAGCATACAAGATGACGTCAACAAAAATTTGCAACGCTTCTCTTTTCGATTACGAGCGAAATCAAGGATCGGTGTTCGTCGATACGTGCGCTGTGCATGACTGATGATGGAAAGAGGAATGGAAGTGCGATGGAAGGAGTGGGGGGAGAAGTGTGATTGTGGACAGTTACACAAAGATTATAGCAGAGTAAATCATAATCAGGAAAATCAAAACACAACTCACCTTAAACAAGCAACTGGCGAACAAGGATGTCCAGCCTGTGGCCAATCCTCTCTCCCATGGAAATCATGGTTCGAGGTAAAAAATGTATTTTCACAATATTTCTTAGAGTACTCTTCCAAATGAGAGGACGCAATTGTGCTTCCACTCCTTCTCCTTCTCTCTGCGCTGGTTGGACCTTGCAAATCTCCCGATACAATACATTTCACAAGGAGGACGGGTCACATCCCTTCCCCGAAAACTGCCCATCCATTTGCCAATCCATTTTCCCTTCCGCCTCTCCGTGTCTGTTGCCAGGTGGGACCATTGCCCCCTTCATGATGTGGACACCTTGTCCATCCTCTTACCTTGCTGGATGCCTTGTTGGGAAAAGCCAGCATCTAATCCCCAACTACCCCAATTGTGCCTCCTCCAGGTCCATTTAATACTTTCTGCAACCTTCACCACCAACTCCAACCGTCCCAACACCTCCCTCGGCTTTCTCTATGCCAATATCCACTCTCCTCTGCTTTTGAGGAGGTTGTGCTGGTAAACTTTCTCTGCAATTGTACTGCAGCTTGGCTTCCTGCCTCTCATGTGCATCCACTCCACTTCCCTGCTCTCCTCCCCCCTGTTCTCCACCCTGTAAGCTTTCTGCTGAAGGTGTACCTGCACGCCTATCTCCATCAGCATCTATATCAATACCACTGGCACCCTCCCACTCCCATTCCCAACCCCTTTCGCTATCCTCTGTGGTCCCCAGTACACCTATGGCCTCCACATTGTCCTCCCCTGAGCCTCCTCTGGAGTCATCTTCACTGCGCGACAGACCTTCCCTATCTGCTTGCTTTGTGCCATTGAGCCCATCCGCTTGATCAGTGGGCTCCAGCTTCACAGCTACTTCTCGGCCGTCCCCAGACGAGAAACCTTGATTCCCTGGCTGACCCATTGGCAATGCAGCTGTGTTAGCAGCAACTGCACCCTCATGGTTTCCATGACTCGATGACAATATTCCCTCATCTGTGTCCATACTCACTGTGAGCATTCTCATGTGCTCCCTTCTCCCACAAGGTCCAGCAGCTGTAGCACCTGTGGCTCCACCTGATGTACTTGTCACCCCCATGCCCATTTGTGATGCCTCTACTACTGGCCCAGTGCCTGCAGCTGGTGCATGCCGCGTTTCTATCGCCATCTGTGTCCGCGTGTGAATCCCCATTCCCATTCCCATTCCCATCTCCATCCCTATCGCCCGACCTGTTCCTGTTGCTGCGGCCATTCCGACACTCGCAGGAGGCACTTTAGAAAGATTTTCTCCGCCAAGCCTCCTTGGACTACCAATATCGCTAACTCCCATCCCTCTTGCATTTCTGGCTGCCATGTTTCTGTTCCTTCCTGTTGGAGTCGCTGTTGGTGATTCCGATGGCCCTGCTACAGCCGTCATGCGAGTCGTCATCATTGCGGAAGCACCAGATCCCTGCCCCAGTCCCATAGCGTCTGCTGTGGTGGACCCCACCACTGCACTTGACGGCAGCCAAGCGTCGCTGGCTATGTGAGGCTGCTGCCACATCCACGGCTGTGGGGCGCTCATAACATGCCCAATGGACGACGCATGGTACATATGCGAGTCAATGGACGGTGTGGACAAAACATAATACGACCCGGGCAAACTTGAGCTTGGTGGCATTGTGAATCCCAGGTTGGGAGGAAGTGTGGAGATGTGCCCTCCACTGTGAATGGTCTGCATGATGGGAGATGCAGCTGCCACACTTATCTGCCCTTGCGGAGTTGTGGCCATTCTTGCAGGAACATGAAACAGCAATTCAGCAATCTTTCTGTCGATTAAGTTTGTGTCTAGCGATGTAGATTGGCTGTTCATACTCCTGCACAAAACGTCAAAAACAGTTTGGCTCCGCTTGTTAAAGTTGTTATACATGGCATTACATGCAGCACATACTTTATCATTTACACATCTAGTTTTTCAAGCTCTTCAGCTTTACCTAACTCTTACATTTCTACTAAATTTCTAGTAATTTTCTACTATTTTTCAAGTATAGCTGTGCTGCTCATCCTTTTCCCCTCTTCTGAAGCGGTGCATCATTAACCAATTGAGAGAAGGTTAACGGAGACCCTAATTTTCAGATCACTTGCCATGCCATTTATATGAAAACCAAAGGGCCATTTTCATAGAACGCATTCAATGCAAACGAGTTCCGATTCTTCCGAGCCTTTTTTTTCTTTTTTTTTTTGAAAAGCACCGTCCGAATTCATAATTGATGAATAGTAGACAGAAATTCGATAATCTGCATATTGCATCTTCCAAAGTTTTCCACAACATCTCCTGTCCTGTTGCAATGACGAACAATAGTTCGGTTACCCGTCGGAACCATTTCCAGCCAAATTCCTGGCACCTCTCGTTTGCAGAAATTGATCAGCTATATGCTAAAGCGAATCTCATTTGGAATCAATCTCAGATGATTTCCCGCTCCATGAATGCATGGAAATGATCCGCCGATTACGGCAAATTTGACTACGATTACATGCTCTTGTGTGCACACTACATGCTTGGTGTGATACCGTGAAGTTTACACGTCAGTTTGAATACAAAGTTCCACAGTAGCTCAAAAAGTCCCAACATGATGAGTAAATGAACACAGCAAAGAATCAGCATGGTTCTGGGAGCGTAAGAGAGAGTGGGGGAAAGGAAAGCGAGAGGGAGAGGGAGGGGAAAGGGAAGGGGGAGGGAGAGGGAGAGGGAGAGGGAAGAAGAAGAGGAGGGGGAAGAGACAGGTAGTAAGTAGAGAGGAGAATGCCAAGTCACCCAGCTGCACACTTCACTACATAAAAGAAATGAAATCATCCCGAACGTCGCCGGGCTTTCAAAAACATGTACACATCAAACGGCCATTCGGCTGGTGCGGTAGCGCTCGGCCCTAGCGCCGCTTGCCGACGGCAGGCCTAACCGGCGGCGGGTGGACACAACGCGGATCCCCGGCTGCAGGTTGGTAGCTCCTTGTCTTCGTATCGTCGATGACCTGTGGTTTCTACCATAGTCGATGCTACCAGCAGTTAGAATTCTCTCTATCGTGCCCGGGCTGCATGACCTTAGAGTTGGACAGGTGTACATGATATTGTCCTTACAAGCAGAAGGTCAATCGATCACATAAGAACTCTTCTCAAGGAGGTCCTAGTTAAGAATGGAGGCTGAGCCAGCAGGGCAGGGTGAGAGAGGAGGGAGGGAGCAAGTCCCAGGGGATTACCGTCCTGAGGAAGAAAGAGTCAGGGAAATGATCAGAACGCTAGAAGCTGCTGATATGGCAGCCACATCCTTGGACATTTTGTCATGCCATTATTCCACTGAAAAGCAAACAACTGTACCGAATAATCTGTGCCAGACTTGCAGTCCACCTACATGATTCAGAGGAGACAATGTGAAAGGCAGCACAAGAAAGACTAAGGGACGAGTCAAAAGGTAATTCAAGGAGGAAGGCTGCGAACAGCGCCCGATTGCTTTTTCCTTTTTTCTTTTCTTTTCTTGCTTTTGGCCACACAACTCTGTTTTGGGGGAAGATTACCAGACTGCTCGAAAAGTTTCCAACAATGATGAATATACCATTCAAGCATTGCCACTCGGCGAAGATATCAGAAGATTACGCCCAGCCCAGACTGGAGTCCACCACTAAGCAGGGTTTCAAACACCGGTTAGGGTTCCAGCACCATACATTGATTAGGGGTCAATAAAAACTGATTACAACCCTAATACAGCATCGCTATAGCAAAAAAAAGCAGTAGTGGTCATTGCCACCGCAGCTCCGGGCCTCTTCAGTGGTACGTGCATCCTTGTGGCCACGCTAACCTGCACCCTCTCCCTGTACACTTCTTCCATCCATACACTGATCGTACATCGTCCATCGATCCACTGATCGTACATCTTCCATCTGTACAATGATTGCGGTTACTTCCACCACCATAGCTTCGCTCGGCAAACAGAAGAACGGTTGATGGACCTCTGCCTCGACAATCGGTTTAACACTTCGTGGACACACCGACAGTCTTTCCGCGGCGACTGGTCATCTTCGTATGCTGTGTGCGGACACGGAGACCCCAGTGGTGGCAAAGGTCGCAATGGTTCCTGTTCTTCTTCAGTCGTTCCAAGTCATCGGCCATCCACGTAATCGTTTATGCGATTCAGAAACCAATCAGGGAGCTTGAGCTGCCATGGGCTGGCAACGATCATCATAAGATTCTCCACCTCATCAGCAGCAAGTTCCCCCGTTCTCTTGCTCATGTCATCATCTCCCTTCTTGCACACAAGATTGACAAGCCTCCTCCCCACACCCTTGATGGCAGTCAAAGCGTACATGATCTTCTGCATGCCATCGATGTTTGTGTTCAGCACACGAAGAACATGCTGAAAATCCTCGTTGGCGATCAGCAACACTAGAAACAACTGGCTATGGCGGCACTAAAGGCGATGACGATCGCAATGGGCAAAACAACTGGAATGGCGATGGCCACGCCTGGGAGCTCTGCATGAGCAGCTGTGAGATTGCTATTACATTGGCTGCTCTGGGGAATCTGTCAAATGTGTTTCTTGAGGGCAAACTTTGTCAGGTGGGTTCCTTGTAAACCAGTTCTGATAGTTGGTCAGATTATCCCATTTATCTGTGTTGGTTAAGACTGTTGCTAGGCCATTAACATTCAATGACACCACCGGCAGCTCAGGCTCCCTGGGTTTGACGGTATAGTGCTTGGTCAGGCTCGCCCCTCCATCCTGCGTTGACCGATATTGTGCTGCCATGGAATGCTTATTATGGGACCTGCTCTCTCATTTTATTATTGGAGATTTGGTTGAAAGGTGACCCCTTGTAGTGAGCAAGCCGCACTTTGACCTGGCGAGCCTTCGTTTCCAAGACCTTGTGTTCAGGTGGTCCTCCATGCCATCAAAGATTGCATGTCCCCCGACGAGTGGGGCTGACACTGCAGCCCTTTCTGAGGGGATCAGCAAAATATTCAAGGTTAGGCTGCAGATCAGATTCAGGTCCCTTAGAAGAACCTTCACCCGATCACTCACCCTCCCTTGCAAGAGTGTTCATAACTTCTCTAAGCCCCATGTGTGTTTCCCTTCAGGGGAGAACAATCCTCAGCTCCTTAAACCGCTAGTACACGGCCCCAGCCTTGCAGAAAGTTTTTGTCGCCACAAGCAAAACTCGGAAGCGCCGCGCGGCCAGGCCCAATGTTGAAAAAAAAATCGGCCGCCTCCAAAGTGGTGCGGGTTTCATGCTGACACCCGCAGGCGGATATGTGGTGTACCTGTGCTTTAAGGAAGATGGGACTGAGACTTCTTCATTGAGGTGCACTCTGATCCCTTCTTAGTAATGGCATCTTCTTTCTTTCTTAAAGACATTAAGTTTTCTCTCTTCAGTTATTTCTTTACAACCCAGGGTCAGCGCAGAATAGCCCGTAACGAAGCCTATCTCTAAATTGTTATCAAGCGAAGTGTAATCCGCATAGGACTGCCCATTTGACTCCACCTCACTATGCACAGCAAGGCGGTGGCTGCCTCCAAACTGCCTCTGTGGAAAGTTCCCCTTGCCAGCTGGTGCACAGGTGAGGTCAATGGCCTCAAGCTGGACTGCCTCTTTCATAAGGAATTGCCAGTCTGCCAACTGTTGGGTTCCTTGCACTGATTATAGGTCTCAGGGATAGGACTGCGGACAACTTCAAAACAAGAAACAACATTCAAAATTCAAATCATGACCAGGAGTTGCGAGAAGTCGTGTAGCCTCCTGGTCTAAGAATTTCATATACCTAGTCCATGGCTTGTGTCTTGCAGTTGACGGACCTTTTGTCTGCCTTTCACGGACGCATGTGGATCTACATACTCCTTAATCAGTAGCTTTTCAAATGTGGACACAGGAGTGGCTGTCTCTTATACACATCTAGATGTGTATAAGAGACAGGCGTCGCAGAGAGAGAGGGCTCTCTCTATATATAGAGAGAGAGAGAGAGAGAGAGAGAGAGAGAGAGAGAGAGAGAGAGAGAGAGAGAGAGAGAGAGAGAGAGAGACATCTCTAGTTCATGCAGATATTGAAATAAGAAGTATCTTAACAACTCTTTGTTGGAGTCAATGATACTAGTATTCTTGCTTCCATGACTTCTAAACTAGGTTTGAAATACTCTACAGTCATTGTGTGTAATAGCCCAGTCTTCTTACTTACATTCTAGAGGATATGTACATTCTAGAGGATATGTTCTTCGCTTTCCTCACTTCAAAAGTGACCCCCCCCCCCCTTGAACTTGGCTAGTGATGCCTTGTTTGCTAGGGAACCGCCGACAGTCATTTTGTTAGGGACATGGGGCCCGGTTCCCGGCTTGTAATATAAATATTATTATGTTAAATTAAATTAACTTAAATATTAAATTCCTTCTTTTGAAAAAAAGGAAAAAAAGTACTTTTGAAATACTTGACAACCATTATATCACAGAGACAGAAATGGTCTTGCTCCTATGTTATAGAAATCGTTTGGTATGTACTATGTATGCCACAAAAACGGAAATAGTTTTGTATGTATGCCACAAAAACAGAGAGTTTGATATGCATGCCACAAAGACAGAAATAGTTTGGTAATAAATTGGTATGTATGCCAGAAAAAGTTAAAAACAGATTTGTCATTTACGATCCATGGGAGCTGCGCATTCGCTCAATGCTTTGTCGGATAGACTTCAGAAAACAATCAGTGAAATTCTGTCAAGTTGCGTCAACCATATACAATGCCAATCATCGATTGCAGCATGAAATTGGTGATGATGACCTCCTCTCCTTTTGAAACTGGTTTTCCCCACCCTCAATCTCCAATTCTTTTACGGAACTAGCTCATTA